TTTATTCGAGTATGAACATTGAAAATATTTTGGTGCTTTGAGTAGCTGTATGGGGGCTCGATTTTTGCTCTCTTTGCTTCCCTTTGTTTAAATACATGTTGAAAACCACTTTTATTACTTGAGATGCATGTGGGGGCTCGGTTTATGCCTTCTTTATTTCCCCTTGTTCAAACACCTGCTGGAATTTACTTTTATGGATCGAAAATATACACTTGGGGCTCGGTTTTGATGCTTCTTGCTGCCTCCCTTGTTCAAATACTTACTGGAATTCATTTTTATGATTTAAGATATACATTTGAGACCCAAATTTTGTCTCTTTTGCTGCCCTTTGTTCGAGGATATGTTGAAAACTATCTTTTAACTTTGAGAGTTAATTTTAAATGTTATAATTTTTGTTTTCACTTGGAAAATTAATGGAGTATGCAATACTCATATGTACAGTTTCACAATTTGAGGTGAGAGCTCCATTGTTAGATTTGATTCCTTTTACTTTCCGAGAAGCAAATAATATGCATATGTTTATTTCAATTTTTTATTATATAAAAATAAAAAAATTCTAAAATTTCATGAGATAAGCATATGAAATATTGAGGTGGTCTATTAGTTCGAGATGAGGGGTAATAGACGATGATGCAAAGAACCATTTGACAGCTTTGTTTATAGCTGAAATACAAAATCAATACTCAATTAGTGTGATGCCCTTTCACTCCTAAATCGTCAACGGCTCTAACCCCTTTCAAAGTGCCTGAGAATTGGTATTTAGAAAAGAATAAATATTACGGGTTTTACACAGATATTACACTTGCACAAGAAATAAATACTACACTCACATACACACTATAATATCCATACACTACGTCACGAATAACATAATACACCTCAGATATTATATAACAAACACCACACACTACGCCCTGCACAACAGATACTACATTTCACATACACATACACTACACTTTGATGAGTTCATATACTACATTTCATGTATAGGTGCACTGCACTTTGATGAGTTCAGATACTACATTTCACGTATAGGTGCACCACACTTTGAGGAGTTCAGATACTACTCCGTTCACATATTCACTAAACGATAAGGTCTAAGACTGTCTGGCTATAGACGTAATTTATTGGTGACCTCTAGTTGATGTTGATAAGTTGACTTCAACATATCAGTAGCCTGAGAGATCAAGGGAATAAAAAGAGGTCTAATCTGAGCCTATCCCCAAATTGAAATCTAATATCCCATCATGAGACTTTCATATGCTGATCATTTAACTTTTCTTTTATAATCTGCAAAAGTTTACCTAACCCTTTTATATTGTACAATTGCAATCTATTTTTAGGCTTTAGTAAAATTTGATCGGGTACGCTTTTATTTATTTAATTTCTGTACTTTATTTTCTATATATTTCTTTTTTTTCTGTACTGTACTATACTTTGCTACGTTTCCCATGCTATTTTCTTACCGCACTTTACTACATAGTCTCTTTGTTTGTTCTTTATTGGACTAAATACATTTACCAGTATTCATGCTTTAGTTACTACCTTTCTAGTATGTTTGTATAAAACCCTAGGATAAGCCTTTTGAGGCATAGTTTTCTCTCTTCTTCCTCCCTTCTTCTCGGGACGAGACGGCGACATTGTCAATAGTGATTCATCCCCGGGCAGCGATCGAGACTACAAATCTGGAGCAAATGACAACTCATTTTCGGATGGCGGTCGAGGTGACAATAGAGAGACAGCAGAAGAAGCTTCAACTGGATTTTGATAGATTTAAATAACATACCTATAGGACGTCGAGGTAGTTCGTCTTGCACAACGTAAATCCTCACACTATCTTTTAGGATTTGCTACAAATACACTACACTTTGATGAGTTCATATACTACATTTTACGTATAAGTGCACTGCACTTTGATGAGTTCAGATACTACATTTCACGTATAGGTGCACCACACTTTGAGGAGTTCAGATACTACTCCGTTCACATATTCACTAAACGAAAGGGTCTAAGACTGTCTTATAGGGGTGATTCGTTGGTGGCCTCTAGTTGATATTGATAGGTTGACCTCGATATATCAGTTGCCTGTGGGATCGAGATGGAGAGAAAAGAGGTCTAGTCTGAGCCTATCTTCAAATTGAAATCTAATATCCCATCTTGAAACTTTCATATGTTCATCATTTAATCTTTCTTTTATAATCTGCAAATGTTTACCTAACCCATTTATATCATACAATTGCAATATGTTTTGAAGCTTTAGCATAATTTGATCAGTTACGCTTTTATTTATTTGATTTCCGTACTTTATTTTCTGCATATTTCTTTTTATTTTGTATTGTACTGTACTTCGCTACATATCCCATGCATTTTTCTTACCGTATTTTATAGCATAGTCTCTTTCTTTATTCTTTGTTGTACTGTATACATTTACCGGTATTCATGCTTTAGTTACTACCTTTCTAGTATGTTTGTATAAAACCCTAGGATAGACCTTTTAAGGCATAATTTTCTCTCTTCTTCCTCCCTTCTTCTCGGGACGAGACGGCGACATTGTCAATTGGTGATTCATCCCCGGGCAGCGATCGAGACTACAAATCTGGAGCAAATGACAACTCATTTTCGGATGGCGGTCGAGGTGAGAATAGAGAGACAGCAGAAGAAGCTTTTCGATAGATTTAAATAACATTCCTATAGGACGTCGAGGTAGTTCGTCTTGCACGACGTAAATCCTCACGCTATCTTTTAGGATTTGCTACGATTTCATATCGTACGATATAAGTCCTAAACTTTTTAGGATTCTGAGGTCGTCGTTTAGTGCGACATAAATCCTCACATTTTCTCAGATTAAACATACATATATAAGTCCCGAACATCTAAGTAATTTGCATGACTGAAACATCAAATAATTTCTCTTTCAAAGACGTAAATCCAAACCATAGATTAGTTTGAGATGTCACTGAATATTATTCAGCATCTTCAACATTTCCTACATTTCACTTCTTTGGATTCTAGAAATAACTGTTCCTATTTGAACCTATCCCATTTGACTTTTCCTATGAACAATCGTGGAAATTTGAACGTTGAATTCTTGAACACAAAACCTCTGATCATTATCGAAAGTTTTTTCAGGTGATTTTAATTGTCTAAGATGTAATTAACTATAGGAGTTTGCTCCTATAGGGAATTTAAGAACTCAGATTAATCTAAACCCTTTCTAATCTGTGTATTAGATAGGAGAATTTGTCGGCTATAAATTTCGTATACCAAAATAGAGTCATAAATTTTTAAATTTAGATAGTTAAGTCTACCAATAAGTGATACGTCCATCCTTCAAGATGATATATCTTTTATGGTATCGTGCTCAACTGTTTAAACTACTAGATATATGATGTCTACTCGATCTCATCATTTTTCAAAAATAAAGGATACCATTTTCACAAAATTAAAATTACATTTTATCTTATTTTAAATTTAAATTTTAAAATAGTATTTTCGAAATTTAAATTTCTAATATCTTATTTTCGAAATTTAAATTTTAAATTGAAATTTAAATGGTATTTTTTCACAAAATTAAAATTACATTATATATATATTAAATTCTAAATTTAAATTTTAAAATCTTATTTTCGAAAGAAAAATAGCTGACATGCAGTGGGTAAGATCTTGTATGATTCATAAGGAAAAAATAAAAAGCAAGAGAAATCCACAGCACTAGCAATAAGCACATGAAATCAAATCAAATTAAATATATTGGAATTTGAAACTATACCAGAACTTCCCAAAATTTTAATTCATAAGTAATTATCCCAATGATTTGCATCATTCTAAATGGCCTCAACTTCCTTGCAGATAATTTAATAAAGCTCACCATAAGAATTCAGACATACCATTAGCTACATCATCTGTTCTGAACTGCACATGCTCACCCCCTACACACATGAACAATAGATTCATAATTATCACAATCAATAGTTAGCTTTTTCCAGACCTCTTACAGCAAATCAGACAAATTAATCAAAGAATACAAATGAGCTGTGTTGTCATCGTTTTAATCTCACAAGAGCTTGGCCTTTTTATATATACTTTGGTTGGCTCTACGCCTATCTGATTGGTCACTGCAGTACCATACTCACCTAGTGATTTAAATTTGGACCTCCCGATTAAGACAACAAGCAAATCAAACACACATGTTGTTGAGTCTAACTTGCACACTAGGTTTGAGGCATCTGAGGTACCTTGTTTTGTCCTAATCTATTCCAATTTAAAATCATTTAGGCTTTGTTATCCCTACTACATTATCAGTGCAATATATTCCTTTTGCAAAAATTTTCAGAAGTTTGGCATTTCGGAAGATGAAAGTGAAATTCGGCATAAAATTTTGATGTACTCTTTCGTTCAATTTTCTGATAAATCCAAAACTTCATTGATTTCCAAATATGCCGCCCAAGTTGCCACACGCTGCCATCACCATTCAAAGCTGATGCTGATGACGACCAACATATATTCATACATATAAATATTTATGCATGCACGCATGCATCCAAGTGTATGCCAGGCGTGCGCCTGAAATAATCACTTAAGATCGGAATTGGGATCAATCTTCCATGTTCCAGCGGCTAAATTGAGATTGATTTTGTATCACAAACTATGAATAAGAGAACGTTAGAATCTATTTTGTATGGTTGATGGACTATTTATACATAAAAACATGCTCAAAACAAGTAGGGCAATTTGTTACATTAATTACCTGTGTCCTCAGTGGCATCTGTTCACTTGAAATGGTATTGTCACTAAATACATCGAAAGAGTGCATTCAGCATGTCAGTGGCAATAAAGATTAGGTAGCCTACCCAAAAAACAGCTCAGCTGACTACAATAAATCTTCTAGATTTCTCCACTGTCTTCCAAAATATTTCTTTGTACAAGTATCTAGACCTATATCCAGACCTGTGGCATCAATGGTTTTTTGCTGCAGTTCAGAGGAACCCTCCAACAACAAATCTTATTCAAGTATTTATTAGCAACAATGCGGAACCAATATTACTGCAATCATTAGTGGAATGTAGGGACATAAATAAGTTATCCTTCTCCTTCAAGGAAAAGCCATCAAGACCTTCACTGTTACATCCCCTAATTTGCTTCAACAGATCCCCAACCTCCATCTCCAACAGATTGCCAGTCAGAACTGGTTGAGAAGCTTCTCTAACCTCAAGAAGAGATTAACCCTAAGAACAGCCATCAATCTTTACATGATAGCCAGGAGAATTTGAATCAGCAACTCACCGAAAGAAAAATTACTAAGTCACACTTTCCTTAAGACATTCAACCGCTTTTCTTCTTTAAGGCGAAAGGTCCTGAAAAACCTCTGTGATCCATTTATGGATCGATGCAATCGAAGGGCTAATTCCTCATCAGGGACATTATTTTTGTGAGAAAGCTCCTTCACTAAATGAACGGCACCCGGTACAGTCTTAGTGACCTCGGTAGAACCCCTCGCCACCATTGCTTTATTAAACGTATTCTTCCTTTCCTTACCTTCCGCACTAACCTTCTCAGAAATTGACTTCGCTTCCCCCACTAAATCCTCCAACAAAAACCTAAATCTAGTCCCGGATCCAGATTTGGTAATAACTTCACCCCGAAATCTGCGAACAGGGGAGCAGTCAACGCAGATAAAATTATCCGTATCTATCTGGGAATGCCAGAGATTGCGGTGATGCAGGGGTACGCATGCGCGGTGAACTCGGCAAGAGCATGCAATACAGCCAAGAAGCCCCTCATCCGACTCTGGAATCCCCAAGAAGCAGTAAGAGCATACCTTAGCAGATTTGACGCCATCGAGGCAATCATAGCAGAGAATGACGATGCGCCACTGACTATCGAGAATTCGAAACCGATCTATAGTATCACTGATCGGAAAACGGAGGCCGCATCGGTGGCAGCTAGACAGATCCGGCGATGCAATGGGTGAGCAATAAGAAATGCAGGAATGGGTGCCTTCGCTTCTCATGCCGGATCCTTCCATCCCTATCGTATCACCAATGAAACATTCGATTAAAAGAACGGAATCAGGGTTAGGGTTAGGGGAGACCTATGCTGCTCATCACTTCTCCATGAGCGCGAGAGTGAACTGCAGAGAGATGCTTTTAATCGGCCAATTTTTTTGTAACCTATTAATTTTTTCGACGAGGGAAAGACTCTTGAAAGTTCCAACGGCTGGCATCTTTCCTTATATATGTAAATCCAAAAATGTAATTTTTTAAAAACGGTGAAGATAGTACAT